TTAGTTTTGACAAAAACCTAACCGCAAGGCAGCGGTTAAGGCGGATTGGAGGCCCATTAGATTGGATCAATTATTCCTCTAACACGTTTTATCGACTGAGACGCCGACTCAAGTCAAATCCCCAACCTGGAGGACCAGGAGACTGGCCTTCGTGTGACCTCTACCCATTGACCTTCCAGGCATGATTAGATCTTTGGCTCGGTAAAAGCCATCCTATGTAGCTCGTTGGGTCATAGAGGTGCACAAGCCATCACATCACGTCAAGGTGCAGTCTCGTCGTGATGGGTCAGAGTTGAACCGCTCGAGAAGACCATTCCTGTAACCCATTCGCACTAGTTTTAAACTGCTATATTTTTTATTTCAGCAGCAGCATTGTTCGAATCATAAGTCAATTCAACTGAGAGATGAATAGTAATACCTGTAACCTGTAGTCGAACAGGAGAGCACATTTAATGCTTGCTATCTTTTGATATTGTCTTTTCCTAGCGAATATGTGGCCGATGAAGGGCTGGACGGCTTTTGGCTTTTCCTCGACCGTCTGAAACCGATTGTCACCGCACAAACCTGGCCCGAAAAATATCGCGTTTCCAGCGCCAACGAACTTGGGTTAGATGCCCAGTCTTATCTGCAACTAGAAGACGCTATGATTAGTTCTTTACGTTCCTCCGAGAACAGCAATAATCAAACCAATGTCGAGCTGCATAGACAATTGATTCGTCTGTTTATCTCCTCACGGACTTATTCTCCTGCAGTTGAAATGTCTCATCAAGTAGCATTAACAACGGCCAGTCAGTTGTTTAATTGCTCTCACAATGACGCGGCACGACGTCTGTCAGAATGCACAACTGGAACCACCTGGGCCCAGGTTGGTCACCAAATAATTTGTCACTTGGCTGAATTACCGATGGCTGTTCGAGCTCGATCCGTACAGCTCATCGACTTTGGTAAGCAGCAAGTTGATCTAGGCTTTGTTTTGAAATAATCTTATACTCAGTGGTATTCGTATTTTTCTCTTTTAATTCTGTTTTTGCTAGGAGTTCTATCACTCGTAAAGTGCTTAACGCAGTTCAGTTTCACTTTTTTTAAAGTTTTATACATAACCCCAAAAGTTGTTCTTTTATGTTTCCCACATTTTTCAACATTGTTGGCAGTACTGTCGTGTACTTTCCAGGTCTACTGTCGAAAAATACGAGCATTATCATGAATTTATATAGCTTTATTTTTATGCATTGTTTCTGATTTTCACCACATACTTTTTTATTGCACAAGAAGTAGTTTGCAGGAAAAGAGGTAAACCCCCGTAATCAATGACATACTGTAAGGGGAAGTTATGTGAGGGAACATTTAAGCAAAAATCAATGTTAATTCTACTTTAGAAAAGAGTAACATTATAGGGGCTTGAAAACACGGAGGTGGGAAGAGTGTTCCACGATTGGGATCATACTGAAAGTTGTTGTTGACTAAGAGTACCTAGCAAATTAACTGTCTTCGATTTGAACCGGCGCTAATCGCATAAAGCTCTCATAGAATAAGTGTGATGATGAAGAAAAGTCACAACCGAAATAACGAGCGCCTAATCTGACCGGTGAGAACGAATAACGCAACTGCAGCTTTACTGACCAGTGTACCTATGGCGTCAGTTGAGATCACTGAAGAATCCTTGTCTAAATATAGTTTAGTGCCTATACTCCCGCAGAGAGTAGGATCGGGGTACTAGTATCTGTATTTGTATCTGTTTGCTTTCACTAGTGTTTACCGGGTGATTAGCAGATGTCAAATAACTCTGGTGACTGCTTCGTTTTGGTTTCTTCTAGAAAGATTCTTCAGATTTGATATTTATTTGATTAAAGAAACGGAATAATCAGTCATTATTTCTTAAAGAGTACTTCGAGTTCTGGATTTCGTACTTAAATCCAAGATTTAGAAATTCATAATAGTGAATATAACATCGAATGAGCTGATATGGGGTATATATTTATTTTTCGATTTTCCCACATACTGACAACGCTTGCTAATTTTTCAAATTATGTTGTTTGCCTGTGAACTTACATGCTACCTGGTGGATTTCATATGCCTCTGTAAATTGGATGGCGGATCCAAATGTGAAAATGTCAATGCTATGGGTGTGCCCTCGTAGCTCAACCGGTGGAGCTTGCACTGTACCAAAGCGTCCATGTATCGGTTCGAATCCCACTAACATGACGAAACTTTTCACAATTCAAACATTGCTAATTTTCTTTTTGTTTTTTAATTTCCCTATCCGTTCATCTACCCGAAACCAGATCTTGCACTGAATGTGGATAAGACAGAAATTCCGTGCTCATTTCTTTTGATGATATTGATGAAATCCCGGTTGTGAGAAACCTAGCCACTATTTGATGAGATGATCTGTCTTTCTGGTTCTACTGTATTGCTGTAAAGTCATGGTTTCTTGTATTGTTTTAAATCCATCTGGTAAATAGGTTGGTGATATGCTTTCTTTCTTTAGAGAATCGAAAATTATCTGCCAAGTCTGCACAAAACCTCATGCTACGGTTTCGAAAATTTCAATACGATCTTCTTTTCCCACGCATTCCACCAATACACAAACTGGGCTAATTTTTCATCATTAGAAACCATACGGTTCTTTCCGGTACTACAGGTTTTGCTATGTGCGGACTATGGGGGGGGGGGGGGTTGGCCTTCTCTACTATTCATCATATAATGGTGTTTAATTAAAAAGTTGTTTATATCTTAGTTTGTTTTTGAAGGTGTGAAAATAAACACTGTTCTCCAGGGGATTTTGTCTAAGCACTACACCTCATGATTACAATGAAAGATTTAGCAGCAAATTTCCGCTTAGATATTGTGATACTTAAACAGAAACCTATGTTGTCCGCAATAAGCACACAATACGAACCGGGACAGATGAAATTCTCTGCGCTAACACAAAAAATTCGATCTAGGGATCCTGAGTTTCGGCATAGGGATTGTTTGACAATTCCGGTCCTTCTTTTGTGATCAAAACGCACATCAATAGCAAGGTCAGTTTTTCGTCACTTATAGGGTACATACGAGATTGGCGTCCATTCACACAACAATTTTTTGTTTCTGAATAATAATAGCCCGCGCGTTTATACGTGGTCTGTTGCATACTTGCTCACTCTTTAGGTTTCCTACCACGAGAAAAGATCTACCCTCCGATGATCGAAGAAACCCAGTCAAAAAGACCCTGTGTTATTCTGTACGGTTCGTTGGATCAGCCCGACTTCTACGAGTGGCATTCTCAGGCAAAAGCATCCGCAGATGAGAACAAGTGTGCCTATATTTTTCGACATTATCTGAAGGTGAGCGGTTGTTACTAATTTGTTACTGTCACTGGAGAAACCCAGTATGATGAGAAATTTTGAAGGATCGAATTATATCTCGACTTGGGGGACTAAAATTGCTTTCATATACCACTTCGATAAATGGAGCTGCCACTAACAATTCTTGAAAACACTTCACAGGCATTTTGTCCCTGTCGGTGGTACTCACCAGGTCCTTTACGATTCGAACTCAAAAATGTAGAGTCGTTAATCAGTCGTGCCACCTACTTGCCCTTTCCGGACTGAATCTCCAAAGGTTGCTTCACGTCAGCATGTGATGGCATTTTGAATTCGGATCTCATTTTCTGCAGACTATTTTTGGCAATTCCTCAGTGTGTGTTTTTCATCACTTTGTCCACACGGTCTTTCCAGTTCCCTGTTTTTTATTTTCACTTCTTGTTGTCTTCCACGATATCTTCGCCCTTAACTGTGAAATTTTCCCTTGTTAGAAGAGTGCCTTATCAGTCCCAATTTCTAGAACAAATCAGGCCCCAGCAATTACTACCCTTCTTGCCTCCGTTGTTTCGGAAACTCCATGGGTCCTCGACCATTACCAATTGCTATCCCATTCTAAGGAAAATCGATTCCCATCGTTCCATTTCTCATCTGCTTGTCTCCATCCCGATTTAACTGTCCCCATTTGTTGCTAGGACTTCTTCTAACGTATGTGACAAAAGTGTCTGTTGACTAGAAATTTCTGTCTTGTTTTCTTCCTTTAAGTTGATCAAGTGTACTTAGACTCCATTATAATTACCTCATGCCCGGCAAAGCTGATGGGCCAAAATGAGTAGCCGGGAACTATCCCAGTTTTGAAAAAAGTGCATAAAATTGCCTTCTGGTTGATGTGCTTTATTTACATTTGATCATCGAATCGATTCGGTTCCTTACGAACGTTTCATCACCAGTTGAGGGCAAATCTGCAGCACTTGCTATAACACCGTTTATCTTACGATATTCAACTTTGACCATGTTCTGGTAAGTAGGTTTCTTGTGTGTTTATTTATATATTGTTTATATTTATGTTAACTCAAAGGATTCCCTCTCTGATACTAATTCACCTTGCCCAACCTGTTTCATTAAACATTGTGCTGGTGAAATGACCCTTGTATTGCTTCTACTCACCCTTAATGATCGCTCAATAATTCACTTTTCCTATTACGGTTCTATGCATTCTTAGGACTTAGGTAAACCATTCTGATGCCGGTCAGGTTTACAGCTTTTTTTGTGCACTTGTTGTGCAACTTGTTGTGGAAAGGATTCTAACTGTACCCTCAGCTAACTATACATCATGCTTGTTTGTCTGTGCCGTTAAATATCGTAACTGGTCCAAATTAAGCGTCGTTTTTCTAACACCAACTTCCTACTTAAATTTCACAGATTCGACCTGAGGGTAAGGTTCGTCTCGGTGGTTACGGGGTGGAATTAGCTTTGAAAAGCACGGAGTACAAAGCCATGGATGATACCAAAGTTGATGAAGGTATGTTTTCGTCCTACCCACGAACTCTTCCGTGTTCGACCTGGTTCTGTTTTCTTCTAAAATCGTCTCATTCTTGTCAGCATTGCAATTAATCACGAACGTTATATGTGGCCTCACATGCTGAACCGATAAATGCACTTGATGATGCCGTTTATAAAGATCGTCTTCCTAAAATTCGACAAGATTATGTTCATTCGCTTCCCATTTGCAGGTCGTCTCCTAGTGGTTCTATTCAACTTTTCAGCCTTTTTAGAACTTCCCTTGCAATTGCAAAATAACTTGTTGTTCATAGTCTCACTATGGTTGAATGTGTTTTGGGTTGTGGATGGTCACTCTTGTCGTGCACCTCGCAAAATGCTCTTATATAACGAAGTGTATCAAATAACCGCTGTTGAGAAAGTTCTACCCGCTTCCTTCTTGTGGCGGAATTTTTTCTCGCAAAAGTAAGAGACCGTTAAGCCAACATTCCGGGTTATAACCAAGTCTGCGAACTACCGGGAGTTGGCAAAAAGTTGATTTTAAATCAACCACGCATATACACACACACACAATCCGATATGTTGAAAAATTTCCGATTATCTTTCTGGCAACTGTAGCGGACTGTTGACATACAATGCATGCCATTGTTCGTTGCGTGTCGCTTGTTGATGTTTTCGCTTTCAATAACTGATAGGACCATACGCGTGAATCTTCTGTCTCTTAGGTTTTGAAAACATGCGAATCTTAAAATTTACCCGATATGTTTCCCTGTAAACTTACTTTCTCTCCTCAGATCGGTTTCAGCGACTAGACACTGTCAAATTGGGGTTTGCTAATTACCAGAGTAAATCTGAGGACTACTTAAAACAAATTGCATACACCTACTGGTCCAAGTGTTGCTTCAATGTTGGGGGGGGGGATGCTTATTCAATTCCAAATGGTCGTTCCCTCTTAATAGACCATACCTTATTTGAGATCAGAATGTCATATGGAGGTTTGTTGTGTTCCCTTGTGCCAAATTTGGCACGGTTTCTTTCTGGACCATCCATTTATAGATACGTCTAAATGGTTTCTTCGTTCTGCAACTGGCATCAATCACGTGGACATTTGTTTTCAAATCATAATGAGGTTGTCACTGAGAAGCAGTTCAATATATGATGATACATGAAATCCGAATTCCATCATCTCGGACAGTTGAAAGTCACATACTGAAACTGACTATTCTAGTGCATATGTGCACGCAGTTTAGCATGAAATCTACCAATAATTGTCTCTCTTATTCCTCACACGATGATCCACTTCTCTCCAGTAAACACTGCTATGAAGCATGCAAGGTAGTAGAATGCAACCCAGATAATCCCTGGACGCATATTCTTGTTAAATCGATCACTTAAAAGTGCATAAGAACTTCATCCAAATTAAAGGTAATGAAGCCACTAGTCAAGACTACTTTTCGTTAACTTGCTTCCTAGCGTTGACAAATGAATGAATTCAAAGGGTGCTGTTCGTGATAACCAGTGAAAAATCCGATTTATATGGTGCACATAAGATAACTTAAACTTAACTTAAAACCTTGTTGTAAGCGAATCCCGATCTTAATCAATTTCCATATAATCACACATACAACACATCAGCTGTTGAGGCTGATGTTGAGGCACAAACATCGCTAATGTTATTTGTTCGCTCTACGGCAAATCTGAACAAGTCGCTATTTGTTCTCGATAGTTTGTTGATAAGCATTAAAACATGCTGTATATTCTAGCTACGACAGGGATCCAATCATCAAACAGAGATCAGCGTTTTGTTTTATAAATCATCCGCTATCCTTCATGTCTGGCCATTTCAAATCTTTGCTTATCAAATGTACCGACAATGTTGTTTTTGATATACATAATCCAATGGCTCCGTTTGGCCCTATTTCCCATACGGTCTTCTGATAGCTCCAACCGATGCGCTTTTCCTCATCGCCAACATTTCTCTAAAGACAACCACTTGAAATCGTAGCGAAACACACAAAATGACCTATTATCCTGTTTACAGTTGCTCGTAAAGTTTTTTTAAAATGGCCATACAGGAAGCCTGCTTGCGAGTAAAGCAGCATACTGTTTGAATCTAGAGACCTCAGGGCAGATGAGCTCTTCGACTAATGATCACTTTTGATTCCAAGGAACAGATTGCTTGTTACGTTTTACTATATTACTCCATTTCTATACCTTTTCTAGTTCACTTATAGTCCCAATCCCACATTCATTGAAAGCAATGTACTGCTATGCGGCAAATTCACTGGAGTACAGAGATCATACATTCAATTTTGTCAGCTGACAATCGCTTCTATTCGTTTGTCATCAGAAATATTTCAGGTGACCCTATCGCTTTAGACAGGATGGAAATCCACAAAGTAGAAAATAAACGATAGGTGTTGATAGATCCTGTGCACTTTCCAGGCACACTTTCGTGTGGTGATGTCACGAGGACCTGCTGTTCAATGATGGAAGCCGGTAACTTAAGCCCCGGGACTTGGAGTAGCGAACCACATAAGGGCCCGATAGGTTAGGTGTAGTATTGGACCGGAAGACAGCAAAGCTGCCTACCACCAAAGTTGGGTGGTGGTGGCGGGGCTCGAACCTCGGACCCTAGGGTCTAAAGCATGCCTGTGACAGCGATTAAACCACTGTACCACCACCATTGAGTTCCTTTTGCCAGTACAATACTGTTTGTGTGAAATGGAGAGTCACCCTCAGCCTTCCTGAACCATAACTTTGGGTTGGGCTATTTAAATTAATTCTCCTATTTCATGTATGTGGTTCACGAAATCAGATCCTTTCAAATAGATTCCAAACTCTCCCATTTGGCCTATATCATTCAACTAAAAGCGCCATTTTAAAAGTCAGAATGTCACCTAATGTTCCTGATGGCAAAGTACTATAACGGTCTTCTAGGTTTGTTAAACGTTTCCGTCTGCCGGATGTGAATTGGGTAAAGGTATATACTAATATTCTCGAAGTGCTCACACTGCTTCCATTCCATACGACATTTTGTTCTGACTTAGACTGATAACGTTCATCATTATTCCCATCGGTCCGTTCACTCCTGTTTCAATCGTCACCATTTAGGAGACGCTGCGGCGGACGATTCAGCTGATGCACACATGGACCCGGTTGTTCAGGGTTTCAATTTCACTGTCCTAAATCAACTACATCCGGATTTGAAGGAACAATTACAGGCGTTCCAGAAACATCTATTTGCCACGGACGATGAAATCCGACCGCTAAAAGTGTGGCAATTCCGAGAACTGGGACTTCAGGCCACACAGGCCGTAATGAACGCATTCCGATTGGGCAAGGACGATTCGGATAACTCCTCGAACGGGCTAAATATCGGTCTGGAAACTCTGCGCGACGTGTCGCAATATTTGCCAGCACGGGCCGGGTAAATTTTCCGCAAATGGAATACCTTTTCAATCTTCTAAGTGAACCATTGTCTTTTAATTATCTTGCAGTTTTTTTTGCTTGTGGTTGATCTGAAAAGTGAGTTCCTGCAGCTTACTTCTTCAAGAGAATACGTTAATTTAATGAAAACCACTAAGTTTCATATGAGTTTGGTACAGAATCTGCCTTGTTCGACTTTGTTGAGTACACACCAAGTACAAACTGCAAAGTATCCTTGGTAGTTGGACCGATTTCCTCTATTGCCATCGGACCGTGTACTAGATTTCTTTCGCGCAGTAAGGAGTAGCTGTCTTCGCATGCTGTGCGCCGTCTCATCCAAGTTCTGAGTCTCAGTTTATGCAAACCTGATTTAGTTCACCTGTCGACTGATTTGCCACAGTATGGTTGTTGATGCACGACTGAAGTTCTTGGAGCAACAATTGATGGTTGAGTAATGTGCCTCAAGGGACAAGATAGTTTACAAGCTTCGGGGTGATACTCCTAATAGATGCCTCTTACAAATATAGCCTCGGATATCCCGTTTCTTGCATCAGACTTGTGCTTAAGTGCAAATTGCGCAATCAAATTTGACGACTGTACCCAATTCTTGCTCTGCCTTGGACTAATCACTCCGTTGTTGTTATGCATGTTGTTCTCCAGGCGTCTCGTTTCGTTGAAGGTGGATCCAGCTTTACGTGAGGAATTGGCCACTAACCAGTATGTGTTGAATAATTTGGGAATTCAGCCTGGACAAACTATGTTTTTTATCAACGGTCTGGTGATCTCTCCCTCGGTGGATATTTTCGCTCTGTTGGACCTTCTTCGTCGTGAATCGCGTCTGATGATGCAGTTGTACGAGTTGGGCATACCTGTAAGTGGCGAACCATGCACAAGCATTTTGAATATCTTTGAATGTGTTTTTATTTATCTGTATTTTTCTTCGTATTTATTGTAGGCCAATCAAGTCGCAGAGCTGTTGAGCGCCTCATCCAACGGTGCACAATCGCTAAGCGGGAACTCCAATGATCCCGGTGTGCCGGGATTGAAGTACAGCCTGTCGGGAAAATTCGCTTTGGACTTGGCCAATGCACCGGTTATATATTTCAACAACTTAGAACTGGATCTGGCATACAGTCACTGGCCTGACTCGTTACATGCACTATTTACCTTGGACTTCTCGGGCGGTATTCGTCGATTACGGCGAAATTTGTACAATGTGATTTTGGTGGTGGATCCAGCAGCGGATAACTGTCGTCAAATGATCCGTTTGGTTGAATCGTTTCTCATTCACAAAACTTCAATACGGTTAGTTCTGTCTTTTCGTGTCTGTGCATTCGTATGTACATGTGGTTATTTTTTCTCTGTTGTCGATTTGTAATGAATACACTCTCAATCAATCGATTACGGTAGTCTAGGAAACCAAGAACCCAGAATGTAAACTTTATTCAGCAAACAATTTGATATGGGGTGACAAGAGGAAAACCGGTGTGCAACAGAGAACGCACCGCAATGTGAAACAAGACGGATACAAACGTTTGAACGTGACATCTTTGTTACTATTTTGGTTTTCACCATCATTCTGTGATGGTCTCGTATCTTCATCAGATTCTGCTAGACTATGGGACTGCAAATCATCATCCTGTAAGGGATATACGACGCCCGACGTGCTTCAGCAGTTCGATTTGAAATCAAGGGCAAATGCGGTGCCTGGTATCTATGTAACCATACGCTCAAGGCTTTGACTGCCAACCTTGTAGCTCAAGGGTAAGGGTTTCGACTCACCCCGAGGGTTTGTGGTTTGAACCCGCCGGGAACACAAATAGTGAATACTGTTGACGAGTCTTAATAGGGGCGAAACAGCTGTCCACTGCTCTTTTGGGCCATCACATAATGGTTCCGTCGCATTTAGAATCAACAATTGTCCGTCGCCTCATGCCGCGTATTTTTATGAATACCATTCAAAATGTAATTTTTCTCTTTTTATTCGGAACACCGCCCATTGCGTTATACCATCTTGGTTTCTAGTGAACGGGAGCGCCTAATGCTTATGGTCGCGGATTTACTTCTCCTTGTGAGCATAGCGCTTGAGGAATTCATCGTGCATATGTAAAGACAACCTGAGACTACTCACTTCCAATGGGCTTTCGTCACCTTGTCACTCTCATCCCCTAAAGGAGATATACATTTTATATGATGTTTTCTTTTGCCTTATCTGCCCGTGTAATCACGTGGAGGTCAACAGATGACGTGGAGACCAAGTATGAAGAAATGCACAGGATCATTAGATAGAGTAAGTGTCACGCGCTCTCTAGGTTGGGGCCCGAAAGACTCCGCAACTAGTTGTTTGAAGACATTGATGGATATGGCAGCGAATCGACAGCAGTGGCGTTCTTGTTGTCTTTTCTTATCAGGTGACAGAATGCTTGAAACGGTATGTATGCGGGGTTCGATTGTGCTTTCTGTGTGCTGACCATAGAGGTTCACCTTCCCCGTCCTTCATAATACATCCAATCCCTGTCCACCTTAAATTTTACCACTAACCGTGTATGCATTACGAGTTTAGCAGCGATCAGTGAAGTTCGCTTCACTGTATTTCGCTGTACGATGACGATACGACGATGATTATCAGCCTGTTGTGTCATCCAAATTTGTTTTGCAGATTTGGTCTGCTTTGGGCTGTGGATACTACTGGTTCAATGCAATCGGCCAGTGTGGCGTTAGTGCGCGCGTTTTCCTACATCACCTCTACCGTTTCGAATGCTCGCGAATCCCCACTCCCACTCGGTGTCCCGAATCTGGGTCATCCGGGTGCAATGAGTGCTCTATCGTTCCTCACTGAATTGTACTCACAGATAGAGAAAACAAATGAACCGCTGACAGCCGCTTTGGTTCAACGCACATTCGAACGTCTTTTCCCGTCCGCACACACCGAGGATATTTTCGCGGACCAACTTGGCGAAGGTGATTATGACAGCCAATTGAAGGTTCGTGTCACCTTGGTTGATTATTCGTTTTTCCACGTTCCCATCGGAATTTACGAGTGATTGCTGTGGAGAGTGTACTTGGGAACTGTCGGAGATTTAATTTCATTTTCGGTACGATGTTCCCGCTCTGATTACAAATAATCGGCCGTAGTGAAATATGCCCGATTACGCGTTGCTCGTTTTTCACTTGCTCGTGGATCATCCTCAAGTTCTGTCCATACTGTGTGTATTAGAGAGTAGTCGAATGATGACTAACAGGGAGTTCACTTTTAGGTATGCGGCAGGTGCTCTCCCTATCCAAACAAAAATTGAAACAAGTTGAATACAAATTATTACGAGCTTGACTGCTCATTACATGCTTTGTGGTGAGCGTGCCCGTCAGTGCATCTTCTATGCGCAAAAGAAAGTCTCTCAACTACCGGGTTTGACTAGCGGCACCACTTTAAGTCTACAAATAGTCGCACTCATTGGATAACGATTGAGTTCATCATGTACAACTTATCGTTCCGATTTCACATGTTTGTTCCTAATGTTGATCGTTTTACAGAAATTTTCCGTTCTCTGAGAATCACTACACTTCGCGCACTTTTTCTGTCACCCCCTTGAAAACCGTGCTTGTGTAAGGTTTTCAAGCCTTCCTTCTAGTGCAGACTATGGAGATATAATAATTTTTGCACGCGTTCGATTTAAAAATGGCAACGTTTGTACTCTAGGCGTTCTACGATCACCTCCATGACGTAACTTGCCTGTCAACCTGCGTGTAGTTTATTACACGTGGCTTAATTTGATTGATTGTGAACATAGTTGACCACGTGGCATTCTTATCTTTACTCCTATTTCCCACACTCGTGGGCATGCACTCATTGTTTCAGCACATCTGTCACACAGTTTGGTGCTCAGCCATGCTTTGTATTTCTTCATTGTTTACGTGTCGGTGTGAGAGCCCAGTGGCAACTTGTTTAGTGGCCATAATAATAATAATAATAATAATAATAAATAATAATGTGTTGCATATGTAATCAAATAGGCTCATTCGGTATGGTATCGATGAAGATTCTCTCTCTCTCTCTCTCTCTCTCTCTCTCTCTCTATATATATATATATATATATATATATATATATAATATATATAACACACTTCAAA